GAACCCAGCACCTTAGGTGTATGTGGCTGGCGCCTTAGCCACTTGAGCCACAGGTGCTGAGCCCTGATATCTATTTTCATCACTTCTAGAGCCTGAATGCTTTCTCTTTCCCTTAAGTTTGATCTATCTCTTCTAAAATTTTCATTGTCCTTATTTCGATGTCTGTGCTTCTCATTTTCAGAAAAATTTCTTCTGTCTTGTCTTGTCTTTTTGCGATCACCATGCTTATTCTCCAAATCTCTATGCATTTCTTGATCTCTGTCATTTACAACTCTACTGTTAATTATTTTGTTCAGGGGGAACACTTCTGTCTGACATGCACTTTGTTATGGGATCTCTCCCATTTGAATCTCTTGAATTTCTTTCTTTTTTTTTTTTTTAACTTTAGTATTTATTTATTTATTTATTTTTGATATGGAGCCTCAAGCTGTCCCCCTGGGTAGAGTGCCGTAGCTTCACAGCTCACAGCACCTCCAACTCAAGCAAGTCTTCTGCCTCAGCCTCCCAAGTAGCTAGGACCACAGGCTCCAGCCACAACGCCTGGCTATTTTTTGGTTGCAGCCGTCATTTTTGTTTGGCAGACCTGGGCTGGATTCAAACCCCCCACCTTAGGTGTATGTGGCTGGCACCTTAGCCACTTGAGCCACAGGCGCCAAGCCGAATCTCTTGATTTTCGATTTCTACACCAGGAAACAAGGACTGAGAGAGACAGATGGTCAGAAAAACAAAGGAAATTTGTTCTAAAAATTCGTAATGTGGCTCAGTTCTTGTTGCTCAAGTGACTAAGGTGCCAGCCACATACACCCGAGCTGGCGGGTTTGAATCCAGCCCAGGCCCGCCAAACAACAATGACAACTACAACCAAAAAAATAGCTGGGCATTGTGGCAGGCGCCTGTAGTCCCAGATCCTTGGGAGGCAAGAGAAGCGCTTAAACCCAGGAGTTGGAGGTTGCTGTGAGCTTTGATGCCATGACAGTCTACCCAAAGGGACAGTTTGAGGTTCTGTCTCCAAAAAAAAAGAAAGAAAATAAAATTCCTAATGATTTATTCTAAAACTTCATAATTTTTTAAGAGAAGCAGAAATCATACTTTATGGCATAGCTTAATAGTTTTACATGTAGTAACCACCAGAATTAACATTTAAAAAAATAACTGGGTCAACTATGTAAGACATGAACATCAGTTTATTGTTTTTGTTACAATGCAACAACTGTTTCAGAACAGTGTGGTTCTGAAACCAGCAATGTAAGTATCCCCTAGGCAATTTCTAGAAATGTAAATTTTTGGACCTTGATTTAGACCTCCTGATTCAGGAACTGTACTGGGGCTTAAGTCTGGTTTTTTAATAGGTAGTTCCTTCCATACTAAAGTATGACAACTAGTCAGTCAGGTGCCATAACTTATGTCTATATTTATAATTCAGAGGATCACTTGAGGTAAGGAGTTTGAGACAAGCTTGAACAAAGGGAGATCCCATCTCTGTCTACTAAAAATAGAAAAAATTATCTGGGCATGGTGGTAGGTGCCTGTAGACCAGGATACTTAGGAGTCAGAAGGATTGCTTGAGCCCAAGAATTTAAGTCTTTGATAGTTTTTAATTTTATCTACTTGAAACATTCTTTGTATAATTGTCAGAGTAGATAAAGAGTAAATTTGATCATAATATAATTTTCAGTGATTCCTGACTTCAGAATAAAAAATTTATACTTGTGAGGCAGGATGATTGCTTGAGCCCAGGGGATGGAGGTTACAGTAAGCTATGATGGTGCTACTATGCTCCAGCCTGGGTGACAGAGTCAGGTCCTTCCCCTCCATTTTTTTTTTTTGTGTGTGTGTGGGA